AGGCTCCAAAACTCACGGAATAGCATTTTTGGGCATACGAAGCTACTGGGAGAAAACGGCAGAAAACATGAGCCTTCGGCATTGTAAGCCCTCGGTATCAGGGGAGCCTTCGGCTACACAGGGCCCCGGCCTCACGAACCCCTCGGCTGCGTGAAAAGCCTTCGGCTGAACAGACTCAGGCATCGAAGATTCCCTTTTGGGACAGCCAACCACCGCATTTAATGCGACGTCACATCCACCCACCGCATTCAATGCGGTGAACATGCCACTGCCGGTGCCACCCCGATTGATGTGACCCCTCGGCCGTTGGATTACTGACACGTGTACTCCCATCGCATTTATTGCTGCTATAAATAGCAGTCCTTGTTCTCCTTGTAAACCACGCTGAGTTCATTTAATAAAATCGACTCTTTCTCCTCCTATTCGCTCTGACTTCTCTCTAGTTATTCCCACAATAACCTCTCGGATAAGATACCCCGGGTAGATTGTCCATCAAAAGTAATTTGGATAAAAAGAGAGGAACGAGAAAATTTAGAAAAAATTCACATATAAAGTGAAACTAATTAAAGAGAGATAAGTTTGGAGGGATTATAAGATTTGACATGTAATATGTAAGAAAGATAATTTTGAGTGAATGTGTGATTAAGAGAAATTTGAGAAGTTGATAATCTTTAAATGATTTGAGACACTCAAACAAGCAAAATGAAAATCTTTCTAACGGGAGGTAGGGAGTGGTTGTTATTTCATTAAACAGTGCTTCCTTTGCATTATTTAAAAATATACTACATATTTCATTATTAGTACAGAGTATATAAATTTTGTATAAAATTATATACATGCCCAATTCATTATTTTGTGATGGTCACCCAACTTTAATTGTTTGCCATGTGGCAAGATAATTCTTAATTATTTGGAAATTGTTTTAATTTTTTAATTGTAATCCATTTTTTGGAATATATCAAAACTTTTTTTTTACTGCCTTTCATATGGTACCAATATTGCATATGAAAAATTCAAAAAAAAACATAAAATGAATATTAAGTAAAAACGATTTTTTCAATTTTTTATATGCAATATTGATACAATCGAAAAGATCTTATAGAGTTATCAAATATGATATTTTTTTATAAAAATTAGGTACTAAATAAAAAAGTTAAAACAATTTAAAGAAAAAATGAAATGACATATCACATGACAACAAGAGAGAGAAGAGGGTGATGTTCACCCCCTCCTTGAAGGGGTGAACAAGTACTTGTTGACTATTCGCCTAAAAAATAAGTTTCATTATACTCCTTATCAAACTTAGGGTCTGTTTGCAACAGTTTATACTTTAAAAAAATTGCTTTTTTTAATGAAATGGAGAGAAGTGATTAAATAAAAGTTGATAGTGTTTGATAAAAAAGTGATTTTGAAAAGTAAAAGTTGATATTGTTTGGTAAAATCAATTAAATATTGTACGGAGTATTATTTAAGATTTATTGTTACATTTCATTCTTGAAAACCCTAAATTTCAAAAGGACTTGATATGGATGGACTATATTATGTACGAATTTTGAATCTTTGATAGGAAGTATGATAAGTCACAAATGGCATTATAATAAGGAATTCGGGATTATACGGTTATTTGTGGGGTTTGACCCATGAAGGGGATTGGCAATTTGGCAAGACCATTAAGCTAGTATTATTTAATAATGTCATAACATACTTTCACATATTTGCACCCTCTGATTTGCCAATTTATCAGGGTAATTCGTGTAAAAAATGCAATTCGTATAAATGTATAGTCACCATATTACTTGATATGTTTATACATAGACTTATTTCAGTCCCAAACCAAACCAAACTTGAACAAATCAGACCAGACCATATTTGGATATTAGAAATAGTAGAAGCACTTTTCCCACAAATTTAGATTCAAGTATAATTCAAGAATGACATAACACACTTTCACATATTTTACTCCCTTACTCTACCTATTTAGAGAGACAATTCGTCTAAAAAATGCAATTCATGTAAATTTATAGTCACCTTATTACTTAGACATTATAAATAATTCACCTTCAATTAATTTATATAAACCTTTGATTTTCAGCAAGTGTTTCTGATGATACCTCATGGGAGTAAACAGGATGTAGTCAATGCGACGATTAATTCATCATATATGTGGTCGGAATGCACAGTCGTTCGTTTGACAAAAAATATGCACCTGCTAAACCCGACTAATCCATCATATTCTTATGATTTGAAGGTCTTTTCAGATTGGATTGCCAACATTGGTGACGGTGTTGCGGGTGAAAGCAGGGCCGTCTTCAGACATTTTGATGCCCTAGACGAAACCTAATTTATTTTCTAGTAATAGAGTTTCTAAATTCTTAAGTCGTATAGTTTTATTTTACATTTTGATACTAAATGTCTACGTAGTTCCGTTTGGACGATTGACATTCTTGTCATCTTTTTTCTTTTAGATTTTCATCATATGTACCTAGATGGCTAGATATTCATTAAGAACATTAGCAATAGGAGGTCAATTGAGGATAAAAAAAACTTGACTCCACTTGATCCCCACTCTATTAAGATCAATAGAGTGCTCGATCAAGATGGAAGCTCAAGATTGACATCTGACAAAAATTTAGAGAAGCATGTGACTAACCAATTAAAGAAGGCCATGTGGCTTTTTATTTAGAATGAAGCCACCAATCTCATCAAACATCCCTAAACTTTCTAATTTAATTTATTATTGAATAAATTTAAGTTATTGTAAAAAATAAATATAACAAAAAATTAGATTTTTTGCCTCTATAAATAGATACCAATGAAGGATTTGTTTAGTCACTTCGAAATTTACCACTTTTTCCCTCTTGCATTTTATTTTACCTGTTTTAGAATATTTTTTCATCTGAAAATGGATCCAACCCGTTCTCTACCTAGATACAATGCCAACAATAAATAATGATAGTGGGTCAAATGTGGATTTTATGTTTCTTTTTCAAATTATATAAATAAATAAAGCTAGAATATAACAAAAATATGGAGAGAGAATGTACAAATTTTAAATGACCTAGGTCATCATAGGGGGGGGTGAAAGTATGATAGGTTAAAGGGGATCAAAACCCATCAGCATTGTTGGAATATTGGGTCCAGGCCCAATATCCCCGGTCCAAAGTATGAGGAAACCAGGAGGAAACAGAAGGCCCAAAGCAGTCCAGACCCGTTCGGCGTTCGGCACATTACCTACACTTGGAACATTTCGGGTAATAACTACACGCGCATTCTTGACGGGGTGCCGCACACCGAGCAGCGTTCGGGATATTGGCTCTCAGGACAACAATGACGGGATATCCCAATATCGAACACCCTACCCGAACGGGTGGTCAGCAAGTGGGGGCCGCATTTAATGCTGAAGCATGGCGGCAGCAAGTGGAGGCATGGGTGCATACGTGGCAGGGGGCATAGCCTACCAGATTCAGCCACGTGTCCAACTTTCTCATCCTCATTTTAGTATAAATACCTGCATTGAATACATTGTAAAGGGTTATCATTTTAATACTCAGAGCTTATAACTAGAAACACTTCTCTTATTCTTGTATTCTTGTACTTACCTACCGTTCAGGTAATTTCAGTGTAATCGCAGAATTACTGAATACAAGTGGGCTCCTGTGTTGAATAATATCTCACTGTTTTATATTTTATACACTTTCCAAACCAAGTTAACATCCCCACAATATCCAGAGCTTGTGTTGGGCTTTCGGATCTTCGGGAATAAACCTCAACAAGCATTGTGGATGCTCTAATGCTGCCTACATGCTCACTTACTCGCATTATTTTCATTGTCATTACTTACATAAACATATTCTCATTATTAATTATCATTTAACTCAACATCGATGTGTGGTGTTAAAAGACGAGGTTTTATTTTTAAACGTCTATCAATAGAAAAAAATATAATATTATTTTCTTTTATTTAATGTTTTTCTTTGAAACTAGTCCCACAACAATGTTTCAGTTTTCGAATTACTATAAGAACTAAAAAGACTGCATAAAACTAAATTAATTATATTAAATACTAATTTTTATTAAGAATACTTTTTGTAAAGAATACATATTGAAATATTTTTGTTCAGTATATGTTTTAATTTTTTTACAAAGAATATATGAAGTATTATATTATAACCAAATACATAGTTCTTCAAAAACTGGTGCCCTACTTGCTATGGGTGATTGGGTGCCCTAGGCATATGCCTAGCTTCCTAGGCCCCATAGCCGGCCTTGGGTGAAAGTAATGATGATCATGTTCGTATTACTATTCCTGATGAACTATTGATACGCACAGATGGAGGTCCTATAGCTGCGAATGTTGAAAGCATATTTCCGGAATATGTTGAATCTGCATGTGAAATGAGTTATTTGCGCGACCGTGCAATTTTGGCACCGACACTGACTGTGGTTGAAGCTGTTAATGACTATATGACGACTCTTAATGTTGGTGAAGTTTCAAAAACATATCTTAGTTCTGAGAGTGCTTCAAAGGTAGATTCTGCGACCGGTCGAATGGTGGAACTGCACATACCTGAGTTCTTGAATAGTATTCAAAAAAGTGTTCAACGATGTTTAGGTTTACATTAAATGCATATTTACAATGTTATGGTTTCAACGTATTAGTTGGATGTTTTTGATCTTTTAAGTAATGTTTAATACTCTCATTTTGACCATAATATTATAAGTGTGTTTCATTTAATGCTTTGATGTATGTCAGTATTACATGAAGATAGATGCTGTCAGCGGCGGACACAGGAATTCTCGGTAACAGGGGCGGCAGTACAAAAATATGAATACAAATACATACACACACATATATATATATATATATATATATATATAAATTTTGGGGTAAATATACCTAGAATTTTTTCTTTTTGGAGGGGCGGCAGCCCCCCTTTGTGTCCGCCACTGGATGTTGTCATCAATTGATAGTGTGATCTGAATCACTAAGCACACATAAATTTGAAAGAAAAATTTCCAAACCATGCATCGCATGGGTGAGTTTACTAGTAATAATAATAGCACGCTCGTCTAAATTATCAGTCTCAAGGCTGAATGTCATTTTCAGCATAATCCACTCCATACAATTTGACCCTTTCAAAAAAAATACAATTTGACAATTATAATTTGTAAAATCGAAGATCAAATATAATTTGACATATTCGAGTAGTTAAACAGATCACTATGTTTTCTTAACCTTGACCAAACATCTTTCAAGAAAACTCTGCAGCAGCGAAGCATAAGTGGAAGGGAAAGTTCGATAGTGGTCTACATGGGGAGATGTCCTGAAGTTGAATGACAACACTTCTCTCCCCCTCCCCCTCTGCTCATCAATGAACGACTCAACAGACCGAAATGGAATCACCTTGTCTGAAGTACTATAAAGATAAAGTTGAGGACAAGGCGGTTGGTCATTCACAAGAGTAGATATGATCTTCACCAACCTTCTGTTCAACACAAAATTAAATAGTTCAATTAAAAGGCTTTTTAAATTTCTGTCTTTTCGAAATGTTTCACAGATTCTCCCCTTCATCTGGAAGGAAGATCTGTTTGGGTTCTTACCGGTTTTCACTTGGCAATTTCAGAAGAAATGAGAAGAGTCTTTCAAATCCTTCAAACAGCAATGTTTCCATTAACAAGGGCTTCTTTTCCTGCATTGTAGGGGAACCATGTGACAACTCATGTACTTCTCCGGGCAATACAGAAGAGCTACGCTTCTTTAGCAATGCTGCAGTAAAGCCTGCTGCCCACACCTGCCAAAATTAGACATCGAGTTACTTTTAATAAGTTGTTTGCTATGGACAAACCCATTAAGATATAGCACAATTCATAATTACGTGTGCATACATAATACACACTAGTTTAGGGATTAGAGAACACTAACTAATTGATTTTATTGATAGGCAGTCATGTTAGACAATTAGTAATCATTAGGCAACAGTAATTTAGGAGAACCCCACTTTTAAAATATCTATTAATAGTAAAAGAATTGAAACACATATCAGAATAGCTTTGAAGCAAGCATCAAATATATATAACTCCATCCGTCCCTTATAACTTTGCGATCTTTCCATTTTTGGTTGTCCCAAAAACTTTGAGACTTTCTCTTTTAATCAATGAATTTGTGATTCCTATTATTTCTCTCTCTTCTAACACAAATTTCAATCACAAGGTTTTTACTTTATTATTTTCTGTGCCAGACAAAGTTTTGAGGGACAGAGGGAGTGCTTAGAAGGAAAATGTGGGGTAAAAGGGAAATTAGAAGGACCCGGAGAACGAAGATTGATAATAAAAAGTTTACATCTGGGCTAGGGGTGGACTCGGGCCGGGCCGGGCCGGTTCCGGTTCGGGCTTGGGCCCGGCCCGGCCGGCTGGGCTTTTATTTGAGAATGGGTGAACCGGAACCGGCCCGGGCCTCAGGACACTTCCTATTTTTCTTTTACTTTTCTAATTAATCCCCGACCCCCCCTCACCCCCACCCACCCCAAAAACACCCAACCCAACCCAGAAAAATAAAAAAAATTGAGAAAACAAAAAAAACAAAAGAAAAAGGCCCGGAACCGGGCCCGGTCCAGCCGGGCCGGTTCGTCTATTGGGTGACCCGAGCCCGCACTGTAAAACCACCGGGCCAGGCCTACCCGGACTGGTCCTTGGCTGGGCCACCGGTTCGGGCCGGTTCCGAACAGTGCCGGTTCGGGCCGATTCCGGGTCGGGCCACCCGGCCCGAGTCCATGCCTAATCTGGGCTAACTACTTGGAGTCTAAGACTAACGTGTTACGACATTATACAGTGAGACAAGTAAACAACCAACCCTAAAAGGCTAAAACATTACTACCTCCGTCCCCCTAAGTTTGGGACAAGAGAAAGTGGCACGGTTATTAATAAAAGTGGGTTTATGCGGTTGATATTAAATTGATAAAGTAGGAATAAAGTAAGAATGCTTTAGAACCACACAAATTTTACCAAATAAGGTATGAGACAATCTTAGTGGGACGGACCGAAAAGGTAAAATGAGACAATCATAGTGGGACGGATGGAGTATAATATATTAGTATACCATAAACTAAAAAAAGCTCCACCAGAGGTCCTAAAAACCAGTTCGCTTTCCCGCATGGTTAGATAGATGCACAATGTTGTTGTTGCCGTCGTCATCAACAAACAGCTTTCAGCTTCACTAGAAGTCAAAACATCGAAATGATACTCCATAGCGTACCAAAAAATTGAAGGGAAAAGGGGCAAATAAGCCCTCGAACTAATCAAAAAAGTGCAAATAAGCCCTTTCGTAGGAGGTTGCGTCCGACCATCGTCATTTGGGGAGGTTCCCGGTGGATTTTTTTGATGAATTTTTTTGAGTATCTTATTCATTAAGTCTAGTTTAGTCATACCAAATTTCAGTTAAAAATTCAATCGGGAAGACATTCAAATTAATTTTTGAAGATAACTGCGTATTTAAACAACGCAGTATATTTCCGAAAATCATTTGAGTGCCTTCTCGGTCGAATTTTTAGCTGAAATTTGGTATGACTAAACTAGACTTAATGAAGAAGATTCTCAAAAAAATTCATCAAAAAATTCCACCGAGAACCTCCCCAAATGACGATGATCGGACAGAACCTCATACAAAAGGGCTTATTTGCACTTTTTTGATTAGTTCGAGGGCTTATTTGCCCCTTTTCCCAAAATTGAAAGTATCCCTATCGATTGCATGTGGGCCATGTGTCCCACACAAGAAGACGAGCACAACAGAGTGAAGAATATATGCTTAACTCCATTTTTAGACATACTGTTAGGAATTCAGACACTACCGATAAGGCAATAATCAGAGTCTTGTTAAGTATTTTTAATATTGTTCAATAATAGGGTTTAGGCCAAGTAACTTAGTAGAAGTGGGCTGGCCCATTGGAAATAGAATAAATAAGGGTGAGTGGTGAGTAGATGGGCAGGCAGAAAATTGGGATTGGGAATTGGGAGAGTGAGGCCTCTCGAAGAGTCTTGATTGTATTTCCGTTTCAGTACTTCGTATCAACGCTATTTTTCTGTTTCCAAATTTGGTTTCTATCATTGGTATCAAAGCAATTGACGATAGCTATAACTGCGCATGGTCGTGACTCGATCGAGAATGGAGCAACGTGTAAAAAACCTAGAAAACACCTTAGCGGAAGTGAAGACTGCCGTGAACGAACTGCTTGGCTTGCGCGAGACGGTGGCCGAACTGAAGAATCTGATGCTACACCGGGATCGCCATAGGAGAAGAGGAAGGTCGCGAGTGTCTAAACATCATCGCCGGGAGGAAAGTGCGGACTCATCGCATACCAGAGGTCATTCTAATAATTCTCGCGCTTAGTCCTTTACTTCGGAACCTGCAGTACATAGGTGTTATGCTCGTACTGGAAGGAAAGTTGACTTACTTGTTTTTAACAGGGAAGATGCCCATGGGTGGATCATTAGGATGGATCATCAGGGTGGAAAGGTTTTCCCGGTTGAATCAAGTTAAGGAGACTGAGAAAATAGAGATGGTGGTAGTGGCAATGGAAGAGAAAGCTTTAAACTGGTACCATTGGTGGGAGGAACGGACCAATGAACATTCATGGGAAAATTTTAAGGAAGCTGTGATTCGACGGTTCCAACCGGCAATGGTGCAAGATCCCTTTGGTCCTATTTTTAGCGTGAATCAGATAGGATCAGTCATGGAATATCGGGAGAAATTCGAGCTGGTCGTAACCCCCATCCGAAGCATTGACAATGAAATGCTTAAAGGCATTTTTATCAATGGCCTAAAGGTGGAGATCAAATGATAGAGAGCAGAGAGATCAAGGGGCGGGAACGAGCTTGGGCCTACCTCTGTGGATTGGTTGTGGGCTAGGGTTATAGTTTTATTTATTATTATAAATTTTAGGCATTGTTTTCTAATTTGCACCTATTATTAGTAAAGTATTTAGTAGAGTTAGTATGGGTTAATTAGGATTTATTTAATTTGGGCTCGATTAGAGTTTCTCTTAGAAGACTATTTATACCCCTTGCCAAGGTTCATTCTTGTTGGTCTTGGAATAAAGTTGGATTTCAGCATTTTGGCTCTGGGCAACGGTTTACCCCATTGATTTTTAATTTTTCTGCTCTCAACAATTGGTCCGACATGTCGGATCCCGTCCCGCCAGGATGACGAGATCTCAGAACGATCGCTTGACAGAGATGGTGGTCGAGCAAACTCAGATGAATTAAACCCTAGAGGAGCACGGCATGCGTCTGGCAGAGATTGCCGCATCCCTGGCAGCGGTTACCAAGGCGCTCGTTCCGCCAGTCACGACGGAAACAAGCTCGGACGCGGTTGGCAGCCCCACCATATCTGCGTACAGCGGCGACGGGCAGCCGCGCAACGTCACTTCCTCCTTGGCTGCGCTCACAAAGGCTCTCGCGCCGCCAGCGGCCGAGAAGCATTCAACGGCGGTGGCTTCACTCGACGCAGCAGCCAGCAACAGCATCCTCGTTCGGAATTGGACTGTGGAGCACCTTTCTCACGACGTTGCCATCGTTTAACGGAGAACTGATCAGCTGGGTTGATAGGGCTGAGCAACAATTCGAATTGAATTGTACTCCACCGGGAAAGGTGGCAGCTGTAGTAGTTACGATGAAAGGGTCAGGCCTATATTGGTTGACCTAGTTACGGGCACGAAAGTCGGGCATGTCATGGGATGAGCTTACACATGCAATGGTGGCTCGTTTTGACTAACAGTTTAAGGGCAATTGCTTTGAACGGCAACACGGGGGCAAGCAGACAGGGACTGTGAAGGAGTACATCTCAATTTTTCCTAAAGATATTGGGCAGCCCCCGGGGACAAATGTGAGCCAGTTTCCGGATTCCAACCTTGAGGACAAGGTTGTTTGAAAGGAGGATAGATTGATAGAGAGCAGAGAGATCAAGGAGCATGAACGGGCTTGGGCCCACCTCCGTGGACTGGTTGTGGGCTAGGGTTATAGTTTTATTTATTATTATAAAGTTTAGGTTTTGTTTTCTAGTTTGGACCTATTATTAGTAGAGTTAGTATGGGCTTAATTAGGATTTATTTAATTTGGGCTCGATTAGGGTTTTCTCTTATAAGGCTATTTATAGCCCTTGCCAGGGTTCATTCTCGCTGATCTTGCCAGGGTTTATAAGGGCTCTGGGCAACGATTTATATCGTTGATTATCTAGGCAACGGTTTACCCCGTTAGTTTTTAATCTTTCTGCACTCAACATCAAAGCAGAACTCAAATTGCATCCTGCACAGAGTTTGAACGAGCTGATGGACCGTGCTCTATTACTGGAAGAAAATAATGCGCCTCCGAGAATAAGAGAAAGCAAGGAGGAAGATAAGGGAGTATGTAAGGAAAAGGGGGGACTGTATCCAAGCCTCAACAGCTGATAGAAGGGAGCTAGTGGAGAAATGACCAATATAATACCAACCTGACTGAGAAGGTTTCTGCCAATATTAAAACAAAGGAAGCACCAAAACTGAACCAAACATGGGAGGGAGGCCAAAGGTTGTCACAACCAGAGCTGGAAGAAAAAAGTAAGAAGGGTCTGTGTTTCAAATGTGGAGATAAATGGAGTAAAAGACATGCTTGTGGAATGAAACATTATCTATTTGTCTTGATGGAAGAGCCAGAAGAAGAGAAAGGGAACAGATGATCAGCTATATGAACTGGATCGATCTCTTATCATCCACCTTGAGGACAAGGTGGAAGGTCAATGGGGGAGTGATGTTAGGAACTCAGACACTACCAATAATAAGAGTCTTATTAAGTACTCTCTCCGTCCCATTTTGGTTGTCTTACTTTCCTTTTTGGGTTGTCCCAAAAAGAATATCATGTTTCTCTTTTTGGTAAGAAATTTGTGGTCCATATCATTTCACTTCATTCTACTCAAATTTCAACCACAACTTTTACTTTTCAACCACTATATTAATAACCGTGCCAAATTGAAATGAGACAACCTTTATGGGGCGGAGGTAGTATTTTTTTATATTGTTCAATAAAAGGGTTTAGGCCCAGTAACTTAATAGAAGTGGGCTGACCCATTAGAAATAGAATAAATAAGGGTGAGTGGTGAGTAGATGGGCAGGCAGAAAATTGGGATTGGGAATTGGGAGAGTGAGGCCTCTCGAAGAGTCTCGATTGTATTTCTGTTTCAGTACTTCGTATCAACGCTATTTTTCCGTTTCCGAATCTGGTTTCTATCACATACATGATACACCAGCTTGTACCTTGAACAGAAAGTCCAAAGTGACAACTTTTTTTATGAACTAACCTCCTATTCTTTTAATGCATGAGGTAAGCAAGAAGACTTGCATGGACTTCGACAACTTATAATGTCTCGAACTCAAGCACACAATTACACAAAATTAATAGCCAATTGTGAACCGCTAACATAGAAAACAATTTACTGCCATACATAGGAATTGATGGGCATAAACAAGGTTAAAGAAACACCTTCAGGACTTCAAACCTATCTCACAAGCCATCTATCATTCAGTGGGACTATGGTTCGTTGAAATAGTTTCATGAAAGCAGGACACACCCAACCTCTTATACCAAAGATATCAGCAGTGTAAAGACTGAAGAGTGCTTCTCAACGCCCATAAACTAATTCTACAAAAGGGGTATGAAATGCTACGAATTTTTAACTGCATAAAATGGATAATTATAAAGATGCAAAAGACACATCTGCACACAATATTTAAAATTTATATATAATATATGTATGAGTGTGTGTGTGTGTAATACATCCTCTTCTTTTTATCAGTTACAAGCAATAGACCAGATGTGCTTTTGGACTTCGAGAAACAAGAATCATCTGTTAAGGAGTATGATGTAAGCTACAGGAACCTGCACAATACAGTTTCTAATTAAGGAAACAAACCTTAGGTTCTATATGCGGGTCTCCTCCTGAATCAACAACACATCCCTTGATCTTATCCAGTAGATCCTTTTGGCTTCTCAAATTGTCAAGAATGGCACCATATCTGCACGGGAGACAAACGCAAAAAGGTAAGATCTAAAAGATCAAACTATCCAAAGCTAAGATCCCAAATGCTATAAACTCCCCCATTAAGGTTAGAGAGTTGAGCATAATCATCTACTCGCTCCCCAAAATCCTCATATAATAGTTATATACTTGCAGCAGTAACTTTTTGATGAAACAGGGTATAAAAATATAACTAGAAGCAACTTGTACTTCCAAAATTAAGGCCCAATAAATCAACCTACGCAAGCCAGCCGGTGTTGCTGAAAGTATGGAAGATCAAGACCCTTTCGCGGCCGTCCTTATCTGGATGTGACAGCCAAGATGCGAGCTCACTAGCCATGGATGCAATCCTCTCCTCGAGTTTCCTCGCTAAATCAAAGGAAAGTACATCTCTCACCGAAGCTACGAATGTGACAGCATGAAAACCCTTGGAGTTATACAGCTCCACGTACCTCCTCAAGTGCTTAGGCTTCGCTCCTAGCCAGCCTAGCAAGACCACAGTCACCACAGGCCCGTCATTTCCGGGACTCCAAATTTCCCGCTCCTTTTCTCCGTCCGATGCAAAATGCCAGTCGAAGAGCTTGTCTTGGGGATGCGAAAAAATACGCGCGAAAAGATCAGAGGAGATTATGGAATTCAGAAGTTGAGAATGGGAAAGCAGCGAGGATGAGGTTGGGAACGAGGGGATCGTAAAAGATGTCTTCCATGGTTTGCTAATGTGCGGGACATTGTACACGGATAGTGAGAGCCGGGAAGTTGAAATTGGATGGCAACGATGTGAAATTGTTGGAATAGGTTCAGGGGGAGAGCTATGAGACGGGGTTCTGAGGAGGAGAGCGACGGAGATTTGGCGGTTTGAGTAGCCGAGCAGTCTGACGGAGGTTTCCATCGCCGCCGGCGATATGGTTAGGGGAAGTGAGTTGATCCACTTTCCGCCTTAGGGTGGGTCCAGACCAGATATCGACTGTGACAAATCACAAATAAAAGGTACGCCGTAATGGGCTGATCAGGGACGGTTTTAGTAGGATGTTTTTTTGAATTGTTTTCAGTTCCATATCAGATCAGATCAGATCAGATTTTCGTAATTATAAAATGAGATATTATTCAAAATGGGACTAAAAAAGTTGGGAAATTCCAAAATAGGGCTTCCATGTTTTTATTCCCAAAATAGGACTAATTACTGTCATGTTTTGGCAGTACCAGACTTCAAACATGGTAGTATTTTCCAAATTTGGCAGTAATTAGTCCTATTTTGGGAATAAAAACATGACAGTCCTATTTTGGAATTTTCAAACATTTTTAGTCCCATTTGGGGAACTTTCCCTTATGAAATATACAGAGACCATACGCTTACTAGATCAGACCAGATTAGACCAGCAAATTTCACTCCTAAAGAAAACATCCCCTTGGGTAACCCCCGCCCTATAACCGCCGCATTATTCAACGTGTAATTCTTTTCAAACCATAACCGCTCCAACGGGTAACACGTATAACCGCGGGTAATTGTTTTTATTAAACGAGTCATTGATATTTTAATATAAAAATAATACTCCCTCTGTTTCTTAAAACTTTGTCAATTTAATCGGCACATTGATTAATAAAGTAAAAACTATGTGGTAGAGGTTTGTGCAGAGGAGAGAGAATTAACTGGAACAACAAATTATTTACTTAAAAGGGAGTGTGGCTAAGTTAGTGGACATCCAAAAAAAAGAAAGTTGACAAAGTTTTAAGAGACGGGGGAAATATTTTAAAAACAAAAAATGGTATCGCCTAGACGACTCTAGACTCAGACGCCACTTTAAAATTATGTATATCTACAAGACGAGAAAGAAGACAACCTAAATGAATTTGAATCTAAAAATACTTAATCTGATAAATAATTAATCACGAAAAAATATGATAATAATCAAACAAGACCATTAAAATATATTATGAATTCCTATTCATATAGTTAATACGTCTATTATCCGTATATATACATAGGGAAAGTTCCCGAAATGGGACTAAAAAAGTTTGAAAATTCCAAAATAGGACTGTCATGTTTTTATTCCCAAAATAGGACTAATTACTGCCAAATTTTGAAAATACTGCCATGTTTGAAGTCTGGTACTGCCAAAACATGACATTAATTAGTCCTATTTTGGGAATAAAAACATGGAAGTCCTATTTTGGAATTTTCAAACTTCTTTAGTCCCATTTTGGATAATATCTCATATACATAATGAAAATAGAAAAAAAATCATCTTTTAGTAGTTGTGGGACAAATAATAAAGAAAAACGTAATAAAAAAATATAACTAAAAATAAACAGGGCGGGTATGGGGCTGGTAATGGAGCGGGCATGTATAAAACTGTAACCACCCCGTTACCCGTAAAAACAAAACTGGTGTTCCCCGCCCCCGTACCCCGGGCCCTTACCCGGTCAAACCGGTTTTTCCCGTTTTAACCGGAACAGTTCGGTGCGGATATCCATTGCATAGGTCGGACACAATTGTCATCCCTTGGTACGCCCCGTATTTTAGTACTACGTAATTCTTTACAAGTTTAGACCTAATTATGATATATCCATTTGAATTCCTTGCAACCACTTTTGGTTGGGCTTTTTCCTTCCATTTTTTTCCTTATTGAGAAATAACTTTAAATAATACCAATTATTTGAATATAAAACAAAAATAATATGGAGTCACTTTTTCAACAAAGAATTCAAACATTTAAGACATTATAAACTAATAGCAAGCTATCAAATACGTGATACTTGGAAATACAAACACTTGTTTGATATTTCAATTCTAGTTTTTGATGACTTAAATAACTGATTTTTCATTGAAAAATGCTCTATATCACTTTTGGTCTATAATTAGATAGTTGATATTATTAAAAGTTGTTTCCAAAGTACGTATTATTATTAGTTCATGGAAGACGGTTTGTACTATTTAAAGTTATTTTCTCTTTTTACCCAAAAAAAGTTATTTTCCCTTCTTTATTTGAATAATTATAAAATTCTTCTCAAAACTAACTCAATTTGAATTCTGAAACATTAAAGGTAATGATCATCTGATTGAAACATTTTCATCACTCTATTTAACTAGTAATGATCTAATAGTTTGATTAAAATTATCTTTTAAATAGGAATGCCCACCAACTTTTCGTAAAATTTCTGAAGTGAATTGTGTTAATTTCTTGAGCAAATTTTATGCTCAAGTGTAGAGTTTTGATGTTCCATGGAGGAGACTTGATTCTAAACGAGCAAAGCTTACTTTTGGGATATTGGGGTTCGGCCCAATAATCCGGCCCAAAATTTTTTGAGGGCCCGAAAAAGAGGATAACCCCAAGAGAATCCTGTGGAGCAGGATAGTTACCGAACGGGATCTAACCGCTGGTGAACACCGGCCGTTCGGGCCATATTCCGTACTTGGATATAATCAACATCATTCTTGATTGATAATTTTCAGGGCCCTAGAGCCGATCGAGAAGCCTTGCAATTCGAAAATGAACAAGAATGTTTCTCTCTCTAGAATTTGGCAGCACTTCATCCTACTCTCAAGAAAACAAAATTTGAAAATGAATTCTAAGGACAGTATTTATAGAGAAAGCAACGATGGCAACCTAACGTCTACAACACGTGTCAACACGTTGGTTGTCACTCAGTCCAATCGATGCGATCAACCACATTCAGCCAATCTACCCTGGCCATTTGTCACCTAGGATGCCTTTTGTGATGTGTAGCGGTTAACAATGCAAACCGCATCACAACATGAAGCTCAAATGCACCAAAGTTCCATCAGGAAATGCACCTCAACACCTTCACACTAGTAAAGCATCAGCCCGACATCAAATGGACATAACCTCTCAGATATGAATTCTCTTAACAAAGGACCGGACTAGCTCCTCACATTGAGCACCACAATGATGGTCTATGGCCAGCGTGTAACACCCCACCCCGTAGGGCTCAAGGTAGTTACTCTTGAATGTCATCCAACCCTCTAATAGTGTCATCACAAATCAAACACAAGTTTTTACCGCACACTTTGTCCTCACTCGTACGCGCCCTGAGAAACTCCTTAGGGGGTCGCCCATCCCAAGACTACTCCCTTGTAAGCACGCTTAACTTGGAGTAGTACTATTATTCCCTTTAAAGTGATCTCAAGTATTACAATCACCCCCACTTAGGATCACATCGTCCTAAGACAATTCAATCTCAATCATATCCCAGAATCTTCCCCTGTTACGTGCCCTCCCGATATTCAACAGATCGACAAACTATTGCAGGGTTACTCTGATACCACCTATAACACCCCAGCCCCACAGAACTCGTCCCAGGAGTGGGGGACTAAAGGACTACACGGCGACCTTCGTTCAAGGATTCTCCCAAAGGGTTGCCTTGTTCAAGGTTCGCCGAAGATATTTGATACCCGAGCCAGTTCAACAGGTGGCGTCCTGACACGAGTTATACTCCTCAAACCAGTTGGTCATCTCCACTTCAGGAATGGGGGACTGAGGGACTACACTCCGGTCAAAATTTACGAGAAAAGCCAAACAAAGAAATTGCAACAAAGATACATGGAAGTCACCCGCACCACGAATTGAGCACCTCGGACAACAACAACAACAACTAACGCTGAAGCACACGATCAATGTCAAAAAGCTCTACTCTCTTTCACTTAAAAGACTCTCAGCTCAGTGAGGGGGGACTCTTGATAGAGTAATTGGGCCCAGACTCACGACCCACACACTCTTAACACTACCTAAACGGCCCAAGCCTGTACGTCACACACTACCTAGGACCCTTTACCAAATCCAGTCCAGAATGGAGAAATATGTTCACTGCCCATACAGTCACCTCGATCATCTCCTCAGTGATGTCACCTCGATCAAAGATCCCAGAAAATAGCTCAGGAACAAGGACAACGCCAGACCCGAGGTGCACCCTTGCACCTCAACCAGAGTCACCTCGCCCAACCGAGAGCACCTAATTAGAAGCCATTTAGAGAATGACACGCATCAAGTCCTGCCACGCCCTAAGGCTTTCTCCCATAGAATAGCCAACACGTGTAACACATTTATTGCACCAACTCATTAATTACTAGTATAAATACCCCCATTGGGGGCAATTGAAAATAGTTCGTATCCCATTTAATACAACCTCTTTATTTGTTTAAAATCTTAACCCTCTCTTCTCTTTATAATACCTCTAGTGGTTTACCGAGAAGCTATCATAATATTTTTTATGTTTAAAAAATTATTAATAATTGCATATACGTGCTTAAACGTCTAATAAACCGACCTCTTTATTATTAATAATTGCATATCACTTTTTAGAATAGATAGAACTCAATGGATTGTTTGCAATCACTTAATTTAAGTGATTGTGGCTTTAAAAAAACACTTATTTTATTAAACACTATCAACTTTTATTTTTCTTGGCTTCCGTACAGAATCTACTTTTTACATTTTCTATTACACAAAAAACACTTATTTTACCAAACACTATCAACTTTTACTACTACTACTACTTACTTTTTCCCAAAAAGTGCATTTATTTAAGCACAATTCGAATTCGACTGAAATTTAATTCGAACCAAACCATGATTTTTTTGATGGGAAGTGGGTCTTTCTTTATTAAACCCGCTCGATGTAATTAAGCTGAACCCGAGCTCCACTGGTAGCACGGCACCTACGTCCTGACACCTTTCTAATTTTGGAATGAAATCAGTCCGACGGTAGTGGTCCTGTAAATACTGCAACAAGCAAAACACTTGCTCACAATGTCAGTCACATGGCTGTTGCTAGGGGATTGGGATCCTCTGCCCGACTAGGACGGTGCCTTGCGCATCGGACGGTCGGGCAGTAGCAAAGCTGGCCTCGAGATTAGCGAAAAAGTGGAGCCCAAGATCTCCGACCGTTGAATTGTTGATCGGACGACCCGGAAGAAGCAAGACACCCTACCTTACTTTAAAGTAAGGTAGAGGCTCCGGATCCGTTGCTAGGCCACCGATAACAATAATGCCAATGACTAGAAAAGAATATCCAAAGTTACCACTCAAGTACAATAATCGACTTTGCTGAGCCAGCGGTGGAGCTTGAGACGATGTCACCTTCCTTCTCCGCAGTTCATCCGGTCACCGGTAGAACAACAGATTGGTTCTGTACAGATCGGAAAATCCCAATTGCTCCTGCTAGAATCAACCCGAGTAAGCTTTCAACCCCATTTTTTATCAACAAAACTTGAAAGTCTCTTCATTTCCTGACAATTTCGCCTTCTTGGTGTGGGTTTAAAGGAGGCATGCGCCCATTGAGTCGAAGGGGTTTCTCTTTCAAAGGAATTTTCGCTGCCGGAGCTTCGGTTATAACCTCCCCTTCTGAAGAAGCTGCACAGCAGTCTCAAGGCGAGTCCTGCATGGCTGCATTTTAAGTTTTGATACCTCATTGTGTGTAATGCTTGCAATTTTCAAGGCATTTTCCTTTTTACTTTGCTAATTGCTGCTAGAGCTTTTGTCCATGGGGTTTCATATTTGGGTTGAAATTAAGTCTCTAAAACCGGCTAAATATAAATATATACAAATTGTGGTATAAAGTTTCAATTACTCGACCTTGAGTCCAAATCATCTCATTCAAACGAGCAACTCGATGTGACTACGATCCCAAAAGAACACATAGATCTCACGATCAGTCTGCTCTAGTAATTTACCATCACATGTTTAGTCATCTCATGAGAAGCCTTGACACACCGACTAAGGTGTTCTTGTGTGACCGAGAGGTCACGGGATCAAGTCTTGTGAGCTACTCTTGTCAGAATTTGATTGGGGAATGCCTGCCCCTTATACACTGTGGTGGGACCTTTCCCCGGACCCTTGCCTTGCGGGATGCCTTCGTGCACCGGGGCTGCCCCTTTTTTTATGTTTAGTCTTCTCAGGACTGGTCAAATGTAAAGATACAAACTTATGTTTAAGTTCTTGAGTTATCTAGGTTGTCCTTAGCCTAAATTTTAGTGTTCATAATTTAAATTGTCTTGGTATTTACTTTTTTTTTTTTTAAATAGGACCGGAAAAGCTGCCATTTAAGCGGGAGGGATACAACTTTTGGACATGGAAAGGCCACAAAATCCATTATGTTGTGGAAGGAGACGGGTTTCCCATTGTTCTGATTCATGGGTTTGGGGCTTCTGCTTTTCATTGGAGGTCGGCATTTTTTGTTGGTTTGGGCACATATTCATCCGTGCTTGTGAATTAATTAAGTTCCTAATTCAGCATGGATCTTTTTGGTTTATCTAACAAGAATTGAAGGTTTTTAGCAAAGTGACGATTCTAATTATAACTTTAAGATTCAATATATTAGAAGCGATATATTCTGCACTATTTGCATTATGGACAAATTCGGTTCCTCATAACAGTCCAGATTCTGCAATGTGGGTGTCATGGTTGCTCATAAGCCAACAGCTTGTGCTTACAAACCCTGTTTTAATTCCCAACTTCTGTTGCTGCGAGATTTTTTCAGAAACATTTTTCTCCTCTATTTCAGGTATAATATACCAGAATTGGCTAAAAACTACAAGGTCTATGCTTTGGATTTGCTTGGTTTTGGATGGAGTGAGAAGGCACTCATTGAATATGATACCTTGATATGGAGAGATCAGGTTCTGGATTTTCTGAAGGAGATAGTCAATGAGCCAGCAGTTTTAGTTGGAAACAGGTATAGTTCTTGATACGGAGTAATAAATTTGTTGATCTAATTCCCGCATCTATAGTAAACCATTTTTTTTGTGTCACTGTCTAAATGTAGTGGACTTTGACTAATTCTCCTTTTTGAGAGAAATGCGCTTTTTGAGTTTGCAATGCCTTTATTTCTGTTTTAATCCCCATCTGTCAAATCATCATTTCAATTTTGACTTTGTAGGAGTTGGTATCTTGATGACACCAAATTTGTAATGTCAAGTAATTGTCTAAAATGCGTAGCACTGTATATTCATGCAAAAAATACTGCAATTTAATCATCTGTTATCTATTACAGAGTACTACGTATTTTTTAGCACTAATAATGCAAAAAATAATGCAATTTACCCGAAGTCATTGTGCTATAAGTTGTAATGTATAATTCTCCTTTTGAAACTAACCTAAAAATTTGGCATATAATGGGTTTAATGAGGATGGGAAGGAATGGTATAATGGCAAAACTTGTGCTTTGGCTGTTTATTGTGTATAGAGGAATAAGATTGATATAAATGACTAAGTTCACATACCATGCATTTTGACAGCCTTGGAGGATTTACAACGTTGGTGGCAGCAGCTGCATCGCCAGAGAAAGTTAAAGGAATTGTGCTGTTAAACAGTGCAGGGAAATTTGAGGATGCTAGTTCTGCAAATAATGAACAAGAAGATGCAACCTCAAAAAAATCCATACTAAATCCAGTGAAGGAGATCTTTCAGCGTTTTTTTCTTGGATTTTTGTTTTGGCAAGCCAAGCAACCAGCTCGAATTGAATCTATTCTGAAGAGTGTACATGATCTCTATTACAATTTACAATTAATTAATGCATCATTTCAACAAGTTATAGTAAATGATTCTTATATTTTCATTAAAATTGGCCTGCAGCTGACCCTAATGCAGGAGAGGTGTATTACAGGTACTATATTGAACTCCATCTTTTGCATAGCTGTATGACACGGATAAACAAAAATGAATATAAGTTTTGCATGATAAGATGCTTAACATGATAACAGAAGTCTTGTAAAATAAATATGATAACAAAGGTGGTCATATATGTTTTGTTATTTATGACTATGACATTAGTTTTAGTAATATATAGAAATGAAACAGCATTATATATGAAATTGATGTTATATGGTCTGACTTTTATATGCACTTGATATGTATTTAAATTTTCTATACGTCTTTCATATAGTACATTTGCATATGTGCCAGTGATAGAGAATAAGTGTTAATTCCCGGGGGAGTAGCGAGGGCAGTATATTGGGCTGAGCCGGTGTAAAGAATTCGTTCATAATTCTTTTACAATTTTTTTTACCAGAATAATTTTTAAAAAATGAAATTTGGGGTGGGCTGGGCCTAGCATGGCCCCTACCTACGCCCCTGGTTGTTACCATACTATTAAAATACTCGTTCATACTATGATTCAGTGAAATTTTGACCTATACCTCCAAAGTTAAAGAATAATTGTTGACTCAGTCTTATAGTCAACAAAGTGAGTCATCTGGCTACTCTCACTCTTGTTTCATGTTTTTTTTCTTTAGCTGGCCAATTAGAGGTGGATTTGCAGAATAACAAGTGAAGCTCTTGTTTAAGAATATGAAATTGTCATGAATTAAATTATTGTTAATGCTCAACTAAGTGAAAATGTGTTTATCCTGTTTAAATTAATAAATTTTGACAAAAAGCTCGAATTGTGTGATATTTTTTGTGTAACGTTAATGATGTGAGTTTTCTCACACTTAAAAAGGTTGTAGAAAAGTGGTTGAAAGTACGTGTATCGTCTCCACAGGGACGGACAAAAGGGAATTAAAAATTAACTAAATTTAGCGATTAAAAAGAAATAAATAAAATAAATGCGATTGTGCGAGATTGTTTGATTTGAAATTAAACTAATGCGAATGAGCAATTAAAATAAAAGATTGATTTTCTTCTAATTAACGACGAAGGGAACATAGATTGATTCCGGGGTAACCAGATTTCTGGCAGATCAGGCTTAATTACATGAAATTAATTTAATTGAGCCTAGCTAATCATTACTAAGTTCTTACCGCTCTCGCGGCGTAGAGTACAATAATTTTGGGGACTAGGCTGATCTCTCATGCGACAGGATCCTAAATTATTGTCAAGACGAGCGAGCTTACGGCCCCTTAATCACTACTAATCTCTTAGCGAACGATTAAGTGTGTGTGAATGTGTCCTAGAATAAACTAGATATCACTTAATTTATTCTACAAGCAATTGTAATTCTAGCCGCGGTTCCAGGTTACAAAAGATATCAATTAAATTATTCAGACACAAATTAAATGGCATTCATGCAATTAATCCATCAAGAATCTAGCCATACATCATGATTAACCCCTTCATCAATCCCAAATCCCTAATTAAACTAATCACAATTCATAATTGAAGAATCAACAAAATTAGGATGAATAAAAATAATTGTCATTAATTAAAAAGATGAACTTACGAATAATCACAGGGTTCTTGAAGAAAACAACGTAAAAACGCAAATAAATTCGTCCCTAGGCCTCTCCGTAATGTTCGTAACCCTCAAAAAGGAGTATGTAGGCCTTATTTATAGAAAAAGGGGAAAATTAATGAATTATGGCCGAACTGGGACTGTATTTCGCGTAACACGGGGCTACGCACGATCATGCGTCCCTGCCTACGCACGATCGTGCGTAGCAGGCATTAGCTTCTTGCATCGTTCGTAATTCACGCACGATCGTGCGTGCTCTACGCACGGTCGTGCGTCCTTGTTCTTCGTCGTTTTCTCTCGTTTTCTTGCTCCAAACGCTCCCGGATGCACCAATGGTCAATCCAAAGGCTCTTTCTTCATCAAAACTTCGTCGTGAACCTCCTGGTGACCTCCAAATCTCTCGAATCACTCTCGAATGCTCTCTAGCTCTTCCCAATTGCTTCTCAAGCGCCGCTGCCGGACTCTAAATTCCTGATTTTGACTCCAAACCATACAAAACTCGAACCAACGCCTGGTAAACACAACTTGAGCTAAAATTGAGACTTGCAACACCTTAAAGCTAGAAAAACCATCAAAATCCGACCCCAACACGCATCAAATGCGTGTTGTAATACGAACTTATCAGTTAATATAACTATATATTTTTTTTTTAAATTTGAAATATTAATTTATTCGGAAAAGGTGAAGAATAAAAATGAAATATATTTAAATTACTCTGAAATTATATGAAGGGTATTTATTATCATTGGAAGTTTCCACCAAGGATATGTGTGATTGTGAGAGATGGTGTAGAGCGGAGTTGACTCCACAAATATAGGTCTACATTGTGAAATGGTGAATGATATGGTACCCCACTAAAAATGAGGGTATCGTATATGCAATGCATATGATTGGTGCATATCATCATTTCATTATTTATTTATATTCAAATTACTTAATTGCAATTTTGTAATTGGTCCATGTGAACAAGGTATATGCATCGTTGAATTTGTCATTGCATAAATGGCTCTTTGGATAATTGATGTGGCCAAAATGCTTGTCGAAAGTCAATGACTACATCTCTAATCACTAAGAACAAGAATAATGATTTTATCACATTTATATTAACCTGTCTCCCATTTATGGTTGGTATTGTGGTTGGTATATTGAACGTGGTATTATCCTAGTATTATTTTATGCATTTCTCTGTATGCAGGCTAATGACACGAATTATGTCGAACCAGAGAAAATACACCCTTGATGCGATCTTGAGCCAACTCTCTTGCCCATTGCTGTTGCTGTGGGGGGATTTGGACCCTTGGATTCGTCCTTCGAAGGCCAATCGAATTAAGGAGTTTTATCCAAATGCTTCACTCATTAACCTGCAGGCAGGACATTGTCCGCATGATGAGGTTCCAGAGATTGTGAATAAAGCACTGTTGGATTGGTTGTCAACCCTGAACTTCTGAGGCCTTCTCACTCATTCTCTACCCACAAAAGAAGGTATAGTTTGTTTAGCTTTATATCTTCATGATGAGGTTTGCTGTTCATTGAAAACAAACTCTGTATGATGACATGGTTATTTTATATTCATCTCTTTCTCTTTTACCGTGGTGGAGACACGAAGAGGATGAAGGGGCTGCAGCCCCCAATTTGTTCCAATGTGTGCATGTATATACGCACATACAAATGTTTATAAACTGATGAAAATATGTTGAAATATGAAGTTTTGGCCTCCCACTAATGCCACTAAATCTCTCGAGGTTGCCCCCCTCCCCCACCAATATGCTTTTTTGGGCTCTGTCACTAATGATTCCCTTGCAGGCCCAAAATCAGGTCTTGTACAAAATCTGAGCTAAAGTTGGCAGCGGGTTTAAGTGGTTTGGCGGGTAAGAATTAGGTTGGAATGATACTGCCCTGGTTACCTAATCCATGTCTGCCATCAAATCTAGCAGCGTGTAAGAAGCTCAAACCAGCAGCCCCTGATAGCCATTGTATTGTAGAGTTTTTTTTGGTAAACCTGTTTGTACTCCCTCTTGCCCCTCTTGTAGTTTGAATATAAATAAGGTGGTCTATGATTCAAATATGTATCTGTAGAAAGTTTATCAGAGAGAGACATGAGTTTATAAGACCTTGGGGTCGACTTGTTAATAGATTGGAGCAAGTGTTTTAAAGGCTCAAAAAGTAGCTGGCGCGAGGTGCCACCGAATTATTTTAAGACCATAAAATATTTAGAATCAGAAAAGTATAATAATCAAGATCAAACAGTCATAGTCAGATTGGACTCCAAAATTCTTTGAGAAATGTTATTTGTACGTGCCAAGTTGTGCACGCCATTTTACATGCTGCCCGAATTGTCTACACATAGACATTTTTTTTCCCCTTTTGTGAAGAGAATCGATCTCGCAACGACAAAATTTGAAAAACTATTCTCTTCACAAAAATGAAAAGAAAAAATTTGTGTATGGTGTGTAAATACATCACTTGTACACCTCAATAAACACTATAAATACATCTATTTCTATCTTTTCACATTTACTCTTTTTCTCTCTTCTCTCTTCTCCCTACGGTGCCCCCCTCCCCACTCAATTTTCTTCTTTCTTTCTTCTTCCATCTTCACAATCTTGTGTTGTCTTTCATCTTCATCACCATCTCTATCTTTATCATTCGCATCTTCATCATTTTCTATCTTTCCCACTTTATCTTTCAATTTTTAAGATTCACCACGGATGGAGAGTCATTGGAAAATCAAACCTGAAATGAACATTCGTTGAATTTGTTTTCCTGTAATGTATATAACATCATCTGTGACTTCCTAAATATTGATAAAATTTGTATGTATGATGAAATAAAATTGAAAACATATATTTAAAAGTCGTCGGAAAAACAATCTGAAGGTGAAAAGTCACCGGAAAATAAATGAGAGGTGTTGTCTATACCATTCAAAATACTAAATTAGCTGTCTTTCACGGACAAAAATGTATGACACGGACAAAAAATGTAAAAAAGTACAAACATTTTCCTAATGTTTGTACACAGACACCAGTTTTTGTGCCACAAACAATTATCTCTACAAAAAAGGCATACCTTGATGTCTACGTAGACATTATTTGTCTTCCACAAACAAAAATGTTTACCACAAACAAAATGTACAAGTACACGCATTTGTCAAGTGCCACATACAATTAATGTCTGTACATAGACATCGATTTTTGTATCACAAACACTGCCATCTCTACAAAAAAGACACAAAAGTTGATGTTTCTTCATAGACATTATTTTTTCGGTGGCCTAACTTTACAGGCATTTACTAAGTTTTCAGTTTTATTTGTTCATACAGACAAACTATATCAGTATTTTGAACGATACATATACAATTCTTTAAGACGATACGAACAATAATTCCTGTGACCTTTCATCTTCAGTTTGTATTCTAGTGACTTTTATTTATATATTTCCAGTTTTCTTTCTTCATAGAGACAACTTTATCAATATTTAGGAAGATATACGATAAGACAATAATTCTGACACTAGCTTGTTCATCTCCGGTTTGGTTCCGGCAACTCTCCATCTCCGGAAAATCTTTAAAAATGAAAGATGAAGTGGAAAGATAGAAAGTGATGAAGATGAAAATGATAAAGATGGAAGATGGTGATGGAGATGAAAGATGACACAAAATGATGAAGATGAAAGTGATGAAAATGGAAGAAAAAAGAAAGAAGAGTGAGTGGGGAGGGGGTACCGTAGGGAGGAGAGAGGGAAATAGTGGGGAGGGAAGAGGCTAAATGTGAAATGGTTTAAATAGATGATATTTATAGTTTAATGTTGTGTATAATTGGTGTGTACAAGGATCATTTTTTGTAATCACTTTATAATCAGTTTCAGTTTTGATTGATTCAATTTCAATTTTATCATTTTTTAGTTCATGCTCATATAAGTGTGTGTTTGCGCACACTTGCATATGATATAACAAATGCGATATCAACACACTAAAAAGGAATCATTTTCATATAGCTAAAAGTCTGATACTATATGAATACTTATATTCCATAACGAACTTGCAAAATTGAACACATGAAAACTCATATGTATGTGAAATAATATTTATATTTATATTTATATTTATATTTATATTTATATTTATATTTATATTTATATTTATATTTATATTTATATTTATATTTATATTTATATTTATATTTATATTTATATTTATATTTATATTTATATTTATATTTATATTTATATTTATATTTATATTTATATTTATATTTATATTTATATTTATATTTATATTTATATTTATATTTATATTTATATTTATATTTATATTTATATTTATATTTATATTTATATTTATATTTATATTTATATTTATATTTATATTTATATTTATATTTATATTTATATTTATATTTATATTTATATTTATATTTATATTTATATTTATATTTATATTTATATTTATATTTATATTTATATTTATATTTATATTTATATTTATATTTATATTTATATTTATATTTATATTTATATCACACAGACAACTATTCTTTGCATGAGATACTCATTGTTTGTATACAAACATAGTTTACACCTCATGTGCGCCCATTAATGTACTTCTTAGGGCGAGAAAATTCCTACAACAAAATCAAAACATATGAAAAGTATCATTGTAGGATTACTGCTTTTTTTTTAGTGTAATAGGGTAAGACTAAAATTGGGATGTAATGTCAAATTGTATTGCGAAGTCTCTCTTCTTTCGTTTGCAAGCTGCGAAGCCACCAATAAATGTCTGATACGATAGTACGATACATGCCTAGAAGAAGATATTGCAGGAGAAAAACAGGAGCAGGAATACTTGAATTTCTGAAATTTAGAGCTACCATTATTCCAATCTAGAAGCAGGGCTGTGCTTACTGTGAGGCCACTGAGGCATGGGCCTGAGGCATGGGCCTCAGGGCCCCAAAAATGTCAAAATTTTAGGAGCCCAATTTTTTTTTAGCTATTTTCCTATTATATACTATAGAGCTATGTTTTTTTAAATATAAAATACATGCCTTTGTTTGATTCTATCGCTGTTGCGTTTGAAAACTGAAATAACCCACAAATTGACCAACGAAGTTAGAAGAGAAACAGCCGAACTAGGTTACTAGACCCGCAGGGCGGTGCACCGGTAAAAGATGTCTTCCAATTTTCAGTTTTCTGTGAATAGCTTTTGAGTTTGCAACTTTACTTTTGAGAATTGAGATTATAAAGTACGAAGTACTATCGTAAGAGAGTTTATGGGCCCATTTTGAATTTGTTTTGGACACAATGAAAAACTCTAACTTGTCTTAATCGAAGATAAATAGAAATGTTCCAGGGTTGATTTGATATCACATTTCTTGACCCATACATTTAGAAAATTAAGTTTGAACTTAATTTTGAATATTGAAACGAGTTGAGATGCATAATTAAACAATTTCAGTTTTTTTATATTTAAAATTTACACATTCAAAATTAGCACATTTCTAATTTAGTGACAAGAATGCAGTATTTAGCACATTTTTTAACTAATATTAAGATATGTCACAAAAAACTAATATTATCATATCTATGATTTCAGTAAATTGTGTTTTATTTATCTTGAGTTTGACCCGATAGAGCACTTACGTCGTATTAAGGATAATGGGACTTATGTTACATATCTTGGAGGAAGGATTCAAAATGAATTGATACAAATGTTGGCAAATGAGGTTAGGAAAATGATACAAAAGCATACATTGCAAATATAATCTTGTTGACAACACCTGTTAAGTTGATAGTACATCCAGTGCAAAAGAAATTTCTCAAAACTTAAGTTGATAAAGACATTTTTGCGATCAACCATATCTCAAGAAAGGTTGAATGAATTAGCTATGTTATCAATTGAGAAGGAATTTATTGAACTCCTCGATTATGCCGTTTTGATTAATACTTTTGCTGCTAAAACTATTGGATAGGTTGAACTTAATTAGTTACGTTTAATACAATTGGTATTTTTATATTATACTCTCTATAATGTAAGAAATTTATTTAATTAGCTATTTTTTTATGTTACATCTTTAACTAAAAAAAATATACTACATAAAATTGTAATTTATAGGGGCCTTTTTATGAAGTTCGACTCAGGCTCGAGTTTGGGTAGGATCGGCACTGTCTAGAAGATGAATGTTTCGATCGGAAGAGGAGGAGAGAAGAGGGAGAAAAGGCAAAAAATAGAACGGGGGAGTAACCTGAAGTTATGCACATCGCAGGAGAAGAAGACCAATGTTAGAGGTGCAGGAGAAGAAGATCGATGTGGGAGACGGAGACGCCTCGTCTTCGTCTCCCATATCGATCTTCTTTTCCCGCATCTTAAACATTGCAAAAATGATAAAACTCAGAATTGGAGCAAATGACTTCTATATAATAGAATATATTTTAGGGATATTGTATCCTAAAATATATTTAGGAATATTTGTTTCCTTTTGTATCTTGAACTCTCTCATTATATACACACATGCCAGGACTTCTATTGGAGCACCTTTTCCCAAATAGTTTCACATGGTATCAAGAGCCTAAAAGAAAACAAAAACCTTTTTTTTTTCTTTTCTCCTTCGTACGTCTTCTACGCAAGCTCGTGTCGCCGCCATGACTGACGCAACTCTCTCAACGGCGCCGCTGACCGCTTCAATGACTGCACCTCCGATTTCCTCTACGGTGAGTACCAGATTCAGTTCTGCCGCAGAATCCTCGTCTACGGTCATCATGTCCTCTTCTCCGGCTCAATCCCAACCACTGCTATCTACACCGGTGGGCCAGTTCACCATGCCGCTACCTTTTTCCGATCAGATTGCCTCCTCCTTTTCACCATACACAGCTGCCCAGGACTATTCTCTCTTCAGCACGTTACCTCCTCAGTCCCCCTGGTAGCTGGTGAGCTCTCTTGTTCCCTCGGCAGGAGTTCGCCCAGCACCGCAGATAGGGGTGGGCAAAAATACCGAACCGGCATCATACCGAACCGGACCGGTATGGTACCGGACCGATAAACGGGGTTTGAAACGGATCTCAAAATTTTTTGTCCCGAACCGGCTCCAAACAATGCCATGACCGGTTCTCATAAAATGAGAACCGGTACCGGACCGAACCGGACCGAAGTATGGTTTATTAAATTTGTACTACTATAGTTTATCTAAAATATATTAATTACCTCATCCATCCCAAATTGATTTGCAAAGTCAACATTTTTTTGTCAAAGTTAATGTTAAGTTCTTGATAATTAATACAAATTTTAATAATTAAAATTTACATATTTAGAAACCACATTAAAATCTCTCTAAAGTTGCAAAATCCAAATTAAAATATACGAAGTACAGAGTAGTTTTTGTGAAAGGCTAAATTAGAATATAATTAAAAAGTGAAATTCTAATTAAGTGAATAAAAAGAAATTGTTTGACCAAAAAAGATTGACTTTGCAAATCAATTTGAAACGAAGGTAGTATGATATATGAAATTGATAAATTGTTTGGATTTTTTGGAGGATGGTTAAACTTTAATTCTTTCTAAAACACCTGGAAAAAGTGGCATTGTTTGGTATTGATATGGCATGGTACCGTCCCGTTTGAAAATGGACCGTACCGAACGGGTTTGGGTCTAAGACCGAACCGTTTCAATAGTAACGGTACGGGTACGGGTTCGGCCAAATATTGGACCGGACCGGACCGTGCCCACCCCTAACCGCAGACACCGTCTGGCTCCACCTATTTTGGACCGTCCTTTGCTGGATTACCCGGTGTCACTCGGCCGAACCATGACAATCCCTTGTTTGGATCTCCTATGGCTGCCCTGGCTCAAACCGTCTCCCATGGCATTGCAAATGTCGGGCAGATTGTGACAATTAAACTTAAAGCGGTGGAGGACTACTTGACATGGAGAACTCAGTTTGAATCACTTCTCGTATCCCAAGGCCTTTTTGGTATTTTAGACGGCTCTATTCCGGTACCTCCCTTATACACTCTGAATTTTAATAATCAGCAGGTCGTTAATACTGATTACTATCATTGGCTTCGAGTAGATCAAACAATTCGTTCTTGGTTGTTTGCTACTTTATATCGCGAAGTATTAACTGATGTGCATGATATTAAACATTCGAGTGGTATATGGGAGCGATTACAATCTCGTTTTATGTCTGCTAGTTTACCCAGAGCAATGGAACTTAAACGGTTACTGTCTAATACTAAAAAGAAGGCAAATCAATCCATGGAACATTATTTGCGCGAAATTAAAAATTTGGCGGATGCTTTATCTACAATTAACTCTCCTGTGACTGATAGAGAATTACTTCAAAGCACGCTACAAGGATTGGGACCGGAATACCGCTTTGTTACAGGCACCATATCTTTGTTCCCCGAGAGCTTTCCCCCGGATATACTCCACCCGCGTCTCATGGAAGCCGAACAACAGTTGCTGTATCAAAACCAACAAGAAGCCTCCATCCAACCGGCGTTTGGAGCTCAGGTGCAAGCCGGGCAAAATGGTCAGCCAGCCGCGTACCGAGGCAGGGGAGGCGGCGGCAGAGGCGGCGGCCGCGGCAGAGGCCGTTACCAGCCACATCAGGCCTACGGCCAGCAGGTCTTCCAGCCACAACAAGGTCTCAACCCGAATCGGCAGGGACCTCCAGCACCACCTCCAGCGGCAGGGGGTGGTTTTCATCCGAGACCTACTAATGCGGCATCTGGTAA